GTTTAAGGGCTTTTTGCAAGCGGTGCCGCATTCCTACCTAAAGAAACTACGAGCAACAGAACAGCTAGCCATAAAACTGAGAAGCGAGTAGACAACAGAAACTACTTTGCTTTGTTGGTCAGACACCAGACACTTACATGATAATGCAACAAAGATGCAACTCCATGTTTGGTTTCCTCTGATAAATCTAGTGGTCTCAGATCTCCAAATAGCGTATGCATCAGCGTTTAAGTCCCTTCTTATACAAGAGATTTAACTCTATAGTATCAAGTGTTACTGCTAGCTTAGCTATTATGACCTGCTATGTGCATTCTTTGAGATTGAGGTGATTATTAGATTGGAGATCAAGGTGATCACTAGATCTTGGAGATCAAGCAGTGTGTGCTGTGATTAGCGTGAGCCACGAAAATGCCTATCAGCATCGAACGAGGTATTGAGTCAATGTATTCATTTCTGCTCCACATTAGATAGAACGACACTCCAAATTTTTCTTAGCACTATTAAAGAGTCCAAGAAAAAGGATGATAGATTGTTATAGATAATTAAATTAGATTTTGAATAATTGTAATGGTGTCTTGGTGGCTGTTTTTGCCGAAGCTTGAATGCTAAAGGGGATGAGGAGATTACTATTCACTATACAGGAACAATAATATTTTTATCTTCTGTATCTCTTAGTCCTTTTGCTCTATCGGAGCATCTTCTCTCATCCTGTTTATGTGTTTCTGATATCTTGGCAGGATGACTAAGTTTTTACAAGTTTATATGTTGACAGACTTTCAGTCTTTTGCAATACAAATATCAGGCAGGGGACTGTCCAACTACTGAAAAAAAGAAGTCAACAGTGAATATGATAATAACAAGGCGATATGAAAAATAAAGAAGGAAAGCAAGAAAAATCCTAATGTATAGTGAACTATGATGAAAACTTTGAATTATGATACTACTTCTGAAAACTTTCTGCGTTCAGACAGCAAAAGGTAGGTCTTAAGAATTAAAGGTTTGCTAAAGTTACCATGTTCACATTGAAATCTAGGGCATATTGGTTCCAACTAATGCGAAGATGTCCATTATCTACCATAACAGGAGAGCCCAATGCATTATCATCATCCCTAAGGGCAAATGACCCTAACAACCTCTTCTCTGCTCTGCATATGTATAAAATGGAATAACTCTAGTAGCTACCTCCTAATACATTCTTCCTGAAGTTTAAATATCCTAATAAATAATTAGAACCTACTACAAATTTTAAATACCATATTAAATAAATAAAACTATACTAAGTTCTTACTAAAGGCTTTTAATCAATTTGTTTCCTTTTTCCTAGGGATCGCATACAGGAGGATAGAGAAGACTCGCACTTTTTAACCAGCATCTCAATCTTCTGTATTGTACAGGGCTTGTAAGGTAAGCCTAACGTGCATAAACCTAACTCAAACTGAAGTTGATGATACACGCCTGAAAAGAAATTAATTCGACGCACATGTTGTCAAACACTACAATAGTATCAAGTTATAACCTCATACATCTCACACCAGCTTTGTATATTTATGACCTTTAACCATCTAACATCATCTTCTCTACTCTATATATGACACGAGCCAAAAAATTCAATGTTTTTCCATCTCAAATCATATTAAAAGACTCTAACTTGAGTTACTACCTACATTTAAACAAACTAGTACAAAAGATCAAACATTAACCAAGCATTTAATTTCCAAAAAAAAAGTGAAAATCACTGAGAATCCATATGGCCAGAAGCAGTATCAAATCATATCAACTCACTAAAGACCAAGAAATTAAAGTCCTAAAAACAGAGACTTTCATCTGATTCCTGAATAAAGTTTCTCAGCGAAAGCAAAATGCGATCTTTATCAGCCTAGACCTGAAATCTTACCGCGTTTTCAGAAAAAGTGAACTGATCTTGACCCATCGCCAGCGATCCGACGCCGAGACCCTCGATTCTGCAGCATATGCGCTGATATTTCAAGATCCAGATCCAAAATAGGAAATAAAATAAGAGGAAAATATTTAAAAAAATTAAGAAAATAATCTATCCCCGATTGTTTATGCGAGTATTCAGGAATCGAAGATACAGAATGAATAGAAAATTAAAAAAATTAAAAAAGATGAAAATTGTGAGAAGACAGAGAGAGAACCTTTTAGATCTCAGCACTCCTTTTCCCTTTTTTTTGCTTCCTCCTTTTTTTAAATTATAAAATGTTACTTTTGTGAATTTTTGGTCTGTATTTTATGGCGCTCTCTCTCGCTCAACTCATGTGGGGCCCAGCTCAACTAATACGGTGGGCTAACTGCATTTTTTGAAGAAATTTTTAAAATAGCCCCAACTCAACTTTTTTTTGAAAATAAATCTTCTTTCGTTTTTATTACAAAAACAGACTCACTTTCTGGCCACGTCAGCACCGTGGCCAGAAAGTGCGTCTATTTTTATTAAACCGTTGTCAAAAAGTGGATCTATTTTTTGTAAACACATTCCTAATTGGTCGGGGTTGTCAACCCCGACTAATTTGCAAGTTACAACTGATGTCTAAATTAGTCGGGGTTGGCAATCCCGATTAATTAGGAAGGTGTTTAAAAAAAATAGACCCACTTTCTAGTCACGTCGCTGACGTGATCAGAAAGTGAGTCTGTATCTGTAATAAAAACATAACATGGTCGATTTTTAGAAAAAAATTTGATTTGGGGCTATTTTGAAAATTTCTTCTGCATTTTTTTGATAAATTACAAAATAGACTCGTTTAAAAACTTATTTGTAAAAAACGATCTACTTCGAAAATATTTTTTAAATTCGAGTGGTTGAAAGTGGGTCGAATTTGGCGAAAAAAACATCCAAAACTTCATGGGATCCGTGAAGTTTAAGCCCCCATTACTAACTTAATTAACGAAGCTAAAACTTCACATGACTTCAAGTCCCGTGAAGCTTATAACTTTACGGGACTTCAAGTCCGGTGAAGCTTTAGGCTGAATATCAGAGACAATTTAGCCTGCAACTACACGAGACTTGAAGTCCCGTGGAGTTGGGATAGGGTCTATATGAGGCCCACACGAAATTTAGCAAAAATGTCAAAATACGAGTTTTGAAAATGTGCAAGTGTGTTATCCCATGAGCTTCAAATGTAATCAATAAACTTCTTGCCTACATTCTAGCACTAGAGAGAAAATAGAAGTAGCAAATATCTCTCACATAGAAATATATTTCTTGAGTCTTGATATTGCTTTTGAGTTGATGAAGCTTCTTATTGCATATGGTGTTCTTGATAAACATTGCTTCATCACTTTGCCTCCACCTCCTCTAGATATCATCGTTGTAGCTCATATTCCATCCAATCCTCCATCTATAGTGCTAATGAATTGTAATCTACAATATAGCTCAATACACAATTAGCAACAATAATGGTGTTTGTAAATCATCATCAAAATAAAGGACCTAACAATCTCCCCCTTTTTGATGATGACAAATAACCATTATACAAGAGCAAATAAAATAGATTATTTGGCTTATTATTTGGCTTATTATTTGGCTTATAGATAGTTGCTCCCCCTATCTATAAGGCTCCCCCTTCTCTATGTGCACAAATGAGGAGATTTCTCTTCCCTTTTGTCACCATAAAAAATGGGGTAATGAAAGCATAAAGACACATACTAAAGAAATCACACAATGCACCTTTTTGTCACCATAAAAAATGGGGTAATGAAAGCATAAAGACACATACTAAAGAAATCACACAATGCACCTCAAGTGTTGGCCTACCCGTAATGAAAGCATAAAGACACATACTAAAGAAATCACACAATGCACCTCAAGTGTTGGCCTACCCGTGTCACCGTCAAGTGTTAGGAATTACAACCTATCACTAGGCATTATCATCTACCCCACTCCTCTTAGGACGACCCCGGTCTCTCACCTTTACACTCCTCTTGGTACATATGTGAGCTTGAGCATGATATGACATTGAAGGAACAAGAAAGAAAATATGGATATGACAATATAAGAGCAAGGAAACCAAGAAAACAAAGTGGAAAAAAGAAATTATTTTCAAAGAATGCACATGCCCAATTCATTCCTAATGCGGCAAAAATCAACTTTCACAAAAGGGTTTGGTAAAGATGTCCGCTAATTGAGATTTGGTGTCAATATAAACAAGAGAAACATCTTTCCGTTCAACATGGTCACGTAAGAAGTGATGCCATACATCTATATGTTTGGTTCTAGAATGCAAAACCGAATTTTTGGAAATATTTATAGCACTTGTATTATCATAAAAAATCTTTGTATCATGAAAGTGTAAATCAAAATCAACCAAATTTTGTTTCATCCACAAAAGTTGTGTGAAAGTGTAAATCAAAATCAACCAAATTTTGTTTCATCCACAAAAGTTGTGCACAACATAAGCCGGCGGTAATGTATTCCGCTTCCGTAGTAGACAAAGTAACATAATTTTGTTTCTTGGATGCCCAAGATACAAGTGAGTTACCCAAAAATTGACAAGTATCACTCGTACTTTTGCGGTCCACCCTACAACCGGCAAAGTCGGCATCATAATAACCACAAAGATCAAAAGATGTATTTTTAGGATAAAACAAACCAAGTTCTAAGGTACCATTAATGTATTTAATAATCCTTTTAACCGTAACTAAATGAGAGTTTTTAGGAGAAGCTTGAAAACGTGCACATGCACAAACACTAAATATGATATCCGGCCTACTAGCAGTGAGATAAAGAAGACTACCTATCATACATCGATATAGCTTTTGGTCTACCTTTTCACCGCTTTCATCCACATCCAACTTGATGGTGGTGCTCATTGGCGATATAGCTTTTGGTCTACCTTTTCACCGCTTTCATCCACATCCAACTTGATGGTGGTGCTCATTGGAGTTGGGGCATGTTTTGACTACCTTTTCACCGCTTTCATCCACATCCAACTTGATGGTGGTGCTCATTGGAGTTGGGGCATGTTTTGAGCTTTCCATCCCAAATTTTTTCACCAACTCCCTAGCATATTTGCTTTGTGATACGAAGATGACATCATTAGATTGCTTAACTTGGAGGCCACGGAAGAAAGTAAAAGTGAGCTCTCCCATCATACTCATCTCAAATTGATCTTGCATTACTTTAGAAAAGTCCTTACATAAAGATTCGTTAGTGACACCAAAAATAATATCATCTACATTAATTTGAACTAAAATGAAATCATTTTTTTGTTTTCTAACAAAAAGAGTATTATCAATTGTTCTTTTCGGAAAACCATTTTCAATGAGAAAACTTGAGAGACGAGCATACCAAGCTCTAGGAGCTTGTTTTAACCCATATAAATCTTTTTGAATCCGGTATATATAATTTGGAAAAGATAAATCAATAAAACGGGGGGTTGCTCAACATAAACCTCTTTTTCATTAAAACCATTTAGGAAAGCACTTTTGACATTCATTTAAAATAATTTAAAATTTTTAAAACTTGCAAAGGCCAAAAACATTCTAATAGATTCTAATTTTGTAACCGGTACAAAAGTTTTATCATAGTCTATGCCCTCCTCTTGATTGTATCATTGGACAACTAAACAAGCTTTACTTCTAGTTACTATGCCAAACTCATCAAGCTTATTTCTAAAAACCCATTTAGTTCCAATAATAGAAGTATTATTTGGTTGAGGAACTAATTTCCAAACATTATTTCTTTGAAAGTTATTCAACTCTTCATGCATAGCTAAAATCCAAAACTCATCTTTTAAAGCATCATCAATACGTTTAGGTTCTATTTGGGATAAAAAGGCTACATTACCACATTCGCTCATTGCTTTTGAGCGAGTCAAAACGCCTTTGGATGGGCTCCCTATAATTTGGTCTTTAGGATGATCCGGTGCAAACTTCCAATCTTTAGGGAGTTCTTTTTGATTTTGTTTATTATTGCTCTCCCCATCATTTGGTTCTTCCGTTGAGGGTTTGTCCTTTAGTTGTAAAAGTTCCATTTGTTCCTCAATCGCATCATCATCCCTAGGTAAATTATCTTGAAAACCAATATTAGATTCATCAAAAGTAGCATTTATAGACTCTTCAACAACGAGAGTTCGTTTGTTGAAAACCCTATAAGCCTTACTTCTAGGAGCATATCCCAAAAATATACCAATATCAATTTTAAAATCAAACTTATCATGATGATCATTAGTATTTAAGACAAAATATTTACAACCAAAAATACGAAAATATCCAATTTGTGGGGTTTTGTCATAAAGAAGTTCATAAGGAGTTTTCTTGAGAGATGGTCTAATTAAAACACGATTAAAAATATGGCAAGCCGTGTTAACGGCTTCCGTCTAAAAATATTTTTGCAAATCATAAGAATTTAACATTGTGTGTGCCATCTCTTGTATGGTTTTATTTTTTTGTTCAACAACACCATTTTGTTGGGGTGTCCTAGGAGCGAAAAACACATGAGTTATACCACGATAAGCACAAAAATCATTAAATAATTTATTTTGAAATTCTTCACCATGATCACTTCTAATTTTAACAATTTTTGAATCCTTTTCATTTTCAATTCTTTTTACAAAAAGAAAAAACTCTTCAAAGCATTCATCTTTACTAGCAAGAAAAATCACCTATGTAAAACGAGAGAAATCATCAACAATAACAAAAACATAGCGTTTTCCTCCTAGAGAGGCAACACGCATGGGACCAAAGAGATCAAGATGCAATAACTATAAAGGTTTAGAAGTGGATACCTCATTTATGGATTTGAAGGAAGTCTTAGTTTGTTTACCTTTAGCACATTCCTCACAAGTAGAATCCTTAATATTAGATATATTTGGTAGCTCTCTCACTAAATTCTTCTTGGATAGCTTAGATATAAGCTTCATGTTAGCATGTCCAAGTTTCTTGTGCCAAATCCAAGGATCCCCATCTACTGTAGGCAATAAAAATTGCCTTTAAATCCTTATCAGAGAAATTCAGAACAAAACTGCTAAAATCTCGCCCGAAATAGCAAAAGGGGGTAAAAACACTGATAAAAAGGGGAAAACGCAGATATCTCCCAAACCGTAAGGAATTTGGCGAAACGGAGGAAGCGAACCAAAGCCTTTGGCTAGGTTCGGATGGCCCCATCTCGTCAGATAGCGATTTTCATATATAATTTCGTCCAATTCCGACTTACGGTTTGAAAGTTACGGCCTAATTCTTCGATTCCATGCTCAGGAGCTCGCCGCTGACCCATTTCGCCTACAAGCCGCTCATAACCAAGTCTGCTGCGCACTGAGCTCGCCTGCA